AAGAATCTTGCCTGTCCTCATTCCAACAGCAGTCAATAGTTTTATGGGGCAAACCAATACAGTTGTATACAATGTGCCTCTGAACAATTTAAACATTACCTGGTTTTTCCTCAACCTCCTGAAGGGGAAGAAACAAATCTAGCAGCTCATAAAGTCAGAAACAGCACAGTTGCTAAGGTAACCCAGCTGATAAGAACAGCATACCAGCAGACAACACCAGGCACAGGACTCACCTCATGAAATGCAGAGCAGAATCAAAAGCAATAGGCAGGGTGAGGCTGTGTGGAGGAACAGCAATGCTCATCCTTCTAAGATGCTTGTATGAATGGAACAGGTCTGCCTCAAACACACACAGAGTGAATCCAGAGCTTAACGGGTTTTATTGGGTCCCAATTCCAATAGGACAAGGAGCCCTTGGGGGAGTCCAGCTGAACATACCACTGCTCTCCAGCACTCTGCCTTTCACACCTGTGCATTTCTTTGCTTAGTATCTATACTGAGCAATGCTTGAGTGAAGGGGCTGCGACATCTCTATCCCAAGGTTTCAGCACCAGAGTTTGCTCTGGTTTAGTGAACAAGCCTTTCAGCCCCAGAGAGCACAGAAAAAGACACTGGGAGCTGGAAATCTCAGGAACCTGCTTGGCAATGCATTTCCCCTCACAAGAAACATTAAGAATTGTATTAGTGAGTTTTAAGTGACTGAATCAAAAGCAGGTAAATACCAGCATGTTATTAATTTGGATGTTTCTAAGCCAACCCCTATGTGACAAAACTTAGGACAAAACCAACCCCATTTTAGTTGGTTAATCCCAAAACTGCCTCCTGCAGGGATTCCTGTCTTCCTTTAAGCCATTGACAGGTTTCTGGTGAGATCTAAGATGCCAGTTCCCATCTTCATGCACACTAACAAGCTGAGGTGGACATGGATATCTGAAAAAAAAAAACCCAGCCATCTTTGACACTTCAATAAAGTTTCGTGGTGAAAACCTGCCCTGGTTGAAGTCACCAGCAGAGCTCCTAAGGAAAGTTGTGGGAACAGAACTTTAGGATGGCTGCAGGAAGAGTTTCTGGTAGCTGTGGTTCCACCAGGGCTACAAAGCATGCCTCAGTCAGGACGTGGTATGAACATGTGCCAATGCAATAACCCTTGCCTCTCCTTGCACTCTGGGGAAGTACCTTTTATGAGATATCAAAGTCCTAAAATGTTTGATAACAAAACTTTCCCAGTCAGAAGTGGAAAAGTGGGGAGTGGAATTTCCAGTCTGCAGAAGAGCTAATCTCAGGTGCCACTTTTGACTGAAACTGCAACCATGTTAAAGGAAAAAGGTATCTATTTTTCAACCCACATACTGAAATCTTTGGAGACTATTTGGAGGGAAGCAAGATCAATTATTTAAAAAATTTAGAGCTAAAAGGAAGCCATATATTGCTTGCTTAGTAGAATCCAAGCTAGGACCTGCCTACCAAAAGTGTTGCTGCTTTGAATTAGCAGTTCCAGTGGGGAAAACTGTCCACTACACACTCTGCTAAACTCCTTTCCTGAGGTATTTTTAGTATTTTTAAGTGCTGTTGTAGCTAGATGAATACTAAAGCCTGAGTTACTTAGCTTGATCCTTGCCACAAGGGGTAACAGGTTCAAACTGAAGGAGGGGAAATTTAGTTTAGATATTAGGAAAAGGTTTTCCCTGTGAGGGTATTTAGACACTGGCACAGGTTGCCCAGGGAGGCTGTGGCTGCCCCAACCTCAAAGCAAGGTTGGATAAAGCCTTGAGCAGCGTGGTTTAGTGGGAGGTGTCTCTGCCCAGGGCAGAGAGGACTAGGACTAGATGATCTCTAAGGTCCATTTCAACCCCTAAAATTCTATGATATGATTATGCTGATTTACAGAGGATGCACATCTGCATTTTGATCATCCCAACTCAAGGACCTCTAGTTCTGACAAAGTTACCGAAAAGACTTGTGCACATAGTGTTGAGAAGACAGCTAAACAGAATTTTCAAAATCAGCTCTAGCCAGTGATGAATAATATATGGGACCTTAATGAGTAATATAAAGATACTTTATGCCTCGTCTTTTGCTAGAAAAGTGTTAAATGGCCTTAGAGGAAAAGATAATAATACCTTCAACTTGAAATTCTTTGCTGTAAAAGAGAAAGTACTTTACCAGTAAAATTAATATTTTGAAAAATGGGATTATATAAAAAGGTAGGAAGGATTACAGCCAGTGAGTAGAGGTCATTATTTTGTCTGACAGAAAGTCCAGAGCTCTATTGATCAACCTCCTGAAAATAGAGTATTTGTGTCTAGCAGCAAGCAAAAACATTGTTTTCTTTCTCAGCACCAGCTAATTGCATGCTGCATTTAAAAACAGACTCTATCTACAAATAAACCAGTTTATGAGGCTGTGAGGTGTCTTAAGACCAGGAAGAATTCTTTCTACAATTTAAAATACCTGAGCTGGGAACAGAATGGTTTGGAGTGCAGCTAATGTTTTAGTCAGCAGCCTACAGGCTTCCCTAGCAGTTCCTCATCGCTATCTCCTCTGAAAATTGCCTGTGTGCTAATGGTTAAGCTGTAGAAAGTCAAGGCTCCCTTCTCACTAGTGTAAACCCTTGAGTACTTAGCTCTGGCACTGAGCTATTGGTAAATTTTTTCATTACCCAACCCATCAGTCATCCTCATCAGTAAAACGGAAAAATTACCAGTGATTTTTAAAAAGCTTTTTTGAAGAATACATCTATATTGATGTAGATTTGCAGTTTAGGAGCCAAGTGTTATAGTTTTCATGGTTTCTCACACTGAAGTGGTGAGCCATGGTTGTTCAAGTGCCTCCATGTTAACTACAGCAGTGCAGACAAGGACACTCAGACAAGAAATAGATTTATGCTAATATTAAAAAAAGAATCACTTATTCACAAGAGCTCTAAATTGAAGGCTGTGAGATGGGTGGGAAGCAGGTAGAAAAGTATGCACTTTCTTTCTAGGGGGGCTAAGTGTGCTGCCATTGAATTCAACAGCTCCAATGAAGCTGACTTCAGCCATGCAACATGGGCTGCCTAAATGTTTGGTAGTAATCCATTTTTTGTCACCTTTACATTGGCTGTGAGCTCTTCAGTGGGTGTAGCTATAGTTAAGTGGCCATTACAATCCAGCCAGAACAGCACTAGCTTGTGCCTGTACAGCAAGTGAGGCTTGTTGACATGTACAATGAAAGGACACGGGCACCGAAGGAAGTAAACTGGCAAATTTTTCAGCAGAAGTCTAATAAATCTAACCATGAGCTATGTAATTCCCCAACCTTTGGCCATAAAGCACTGCCCTTGTATGAACTGAATGCTTGAGTACACTCCAGGTCTTTCTGGCATGAAGTACTTCACCAGCTATTTAAGAAATGTCACCCATGCTGGTGGGTCTAAGCAAAGCCACGGTACTGCAAGTGAAAGCACCTAAGCATGCAAATATAGCCTGTGTGTAACACTTTAAATGGCTACACATACTTGCCAAGCAACTATGTTAGGCCCAAATATCCATAGACTTGGGCTCTGTTGCCCTGCAAACAACACAGGGATGGAAAGGGCATGGGAGTACTAGTTACAAGGCTGGTGTCACTGGACCCAGTGCACAACGAGCAGAAAGATTCCCAATACTGCAAGAAAACTCCTGGGTTTAAATTTACAAATTACACCACCATTTGCTCCCCATGGTTTTTCTGACATTCATTTCAGACTAGGCTTTGTTCTTCGGGAACATTTCCTTCTGAAAAATAAAAATTAACAACCCCCCTGATCTTCCAGTAATGCGTTATGGAAAGTGAAACTCTAGTGATGCAACCAGTAGGGTATCTTCTCTGCCATGACATTAAGTGTATTTCTGAACTTGCTGAGAACAGTGTGGGTAATAAAAATCAAAAGGAGGGAGACAAATGTCAGCCAGGTAAACATGTCAAAAGGTTAATTTCTGCAACTCATCTTTCTGTTACGTGAAAGGATTATGTCCTTGTTGTGCTTGATAGGAAGATATGTACCTTTTGAATTTAAAGTGGCAAGTCTTAAGGAAATAGAAAATCTTTAAAGCTGAGGCAGCAGCACATCTGTAACAAATGTAAGGCATGTAGGGACGAAAAAGAACAAGTTGTTTTAAAAGTGCTCCTCTGTGGATGTGTGTAATACCCCACAGGAGCTGGGTATCACATTAGGTCACTGCTAACATAAATGCATGGAATGTTTTTGGGTGTGGTGTTTATTTACATCTCTCAAAAGAAATTGGTTACTGGGGCATTCAGCTTATTACTGAAGGTTTTGGATTCCCCTTCCCCCTCTCCCTATCTATTTACAGTTCCCTTTCAAGTACAAGAAACATTTTCTGTAACCTCAGCTTCCTGATTCAGGTGTTGTGATGTCAGTTATTTACGATAACAAAAGTGAGACAATGCCTGTGGGCATTGCGTGGGACAAAGGCAACCTTGTTTCTGTAAAATGGGACAATCCTAGTGTGAGAAGCACAGGAAAGGCTATGAAGTAGGACTCCAAGGTGGTATTACATTAGTCCTGCCAGCTTCATAATAGCAGGCTTCACCACTGCATTATTTCAAAGGCCACTGCCAGAGGGTTTTTTTCTTTCCATAGGACTGGACACTGATGTGAAAGCAACTCTTGGAAAACTACCTCTTTGCAGGACAAGGCTTTGGAGATAGGTATCTTGGGAAACAAATGGATTGCTAGTGGGAAGACAGGCAGAGAGTGTCAGGATGCAAATGTTTCAGTACCAATTACGCATTCTGTGGTCATGGGCAAGTCATTCTGCACCTTTGCTTACCTGCCATGAAACTCGTGTATTAATATTTAACTGTCTCAACCACAGATGTGGTGAAACTTGCAGAATGCCAGTAAACTCTTGAGGTCACAGAGTAGCAAAAAGGAAACAAGAAGCTCTTAATACGAAGCAAGGCTAGATAGGAATGAAGAGCATGTACTTTGGTGTAGCCTAGACAATGTCACTTACCTGCTATTCTTCCAATTGGCATCGCATGGTCCTCAGGAGGGGAAACAGACACCATGATGTGGTTCATATAAGCTAACTCTTCTCGGTGGGATAGGTTGATTGGCTTTACCTCCCTGTGCAGCCCATCCTCAGACAACCTTGGTGGTTTGAAATCGGAGTGCCTGGGGTTCAGTATCAAAGGATGCATGATAGGGCTGGGCATCAGCTGGATGACCCTGGTGTTCTCCTGGCGAGGGCTGGAGGGCTTCTGGAGCACATCAGAAGGAGGAGGGCAGTGGTTGTTTTCTATTGGGGACACTGAGAGAGGATAGGGCTCCTGCTGGCTGTTCTCCTGCTGATGCCTTGTCCCCGGCACCCTGTCGGCTGGGGAGAGGCGACGGATAGTGTTGTCCATAGGGGACTTCAGTGGCCGCTGCTCGGGATCTGGTGACGGACGGTGGTTGTTGGTGATGGGCGATCTAGAACGATGCAACAGTTCAATGGTTGGGGGGTTGTGGTGCATTGCTTCTGTGGATGGTCTGGAAGGTCTCTGCACGAAGTTATCTGTGGAGATAAAAAAAGTCCCCAAAATACAGATTGTCTATGTTATGATCGATGTGTAGGATATAACTGTCAAACTGCTAGCCAGGCTTACTGGGTACTGCTGTCAGCTTGGAAATAATTTTACTTGTGTGACCTACAGATGCTCAGAAAAACACACTATAAATGCAGATAGTTATTACTACAGGGAATGAAATCAGCACTGTGAAAACAATCTACCTCTACCACCACGTACCAATAGTTCCTGGGGAAACATGCTAAGAGAAATCCCATTTTGAGAAGCTGACTGGAACACGTGAAGAAAGCAAGATCTGATTAAGCTGTACTATGTTTCTGTGCAAATGCTTTGAAACTTTGAAATCTCCTGCTACTCATGTATCTATGTGTGGTTCCTCCTATTGTACCACGATGAGCACTGTAAGGTAGAAGGCAAAGACAAAAAAAGGGAAAATGTCTCCAGGAAAATATTGGGTAGCAATTTTTAGACAGTAAAGGCTTAGGTCAAGGTAGAGAATAACTCAGTCTGAAATATGGACCGGGTTATCTAAAAAACCCTACCTGTAGGAAGTTCTTCATGAAACACTGGCTAAATTTTATCCCTGCCTTGATTTTAAGAGCATGTAACAACTTCTTTTGTTTAGTCTGTGCTGTCTACTGATGGGTTGCCCCATATAAGCACTTCCACATCTCCAGCACCTAGCAGGACCTCTAGCATCACTTTTGCATGAGCATCCTTCCCCAGCTGTGATGCCTAACAACAGGGGGAAGACAAATCACAGCTCTAGGTCAGTGTCTTTATGTACTAGCAATCCTCTCAGAAAATTAAATGTTTGCCAGTACAAACTTTCAGGTTAGCTAAGGCCATTAATTCTGACTCAGGAAATTACCAGCAAAGAGGAAAATACCACCAGAGTGCAACGACTAACAGGTTTTTATCTGAAAACCAAAGATCAAATTTCAGGACTGTTTGTTGAAAGCCTTGGATGATAACAGAAGGAAACTGCTGGGTACATGTCAACAACTGAACAAGTAGCTGCCTATTTGTAGCTCCATTTTCTCTGATCCTTTAACGATTGATTCTCTTGTTTTCTTGTCAAAGTAGTGATACCTGTTGAAGACCCTGTCAGGGTGAAGATCCAAGGGCTCCTGCTGCCCTGGAACTCAGGCAGGCATCAGGAGAGGGATCTGAACAGGAAAAGCTCAAGTTCTGAGAAAATGTAGTGCCAGGCAGTGACACAGCACCAACCCTTTCGCTTACTCAATGGTCTGTTCATCTATATGAGGACACTAAAGTCTACAGGAAAATCTGAAATTATAGGCAGAACCTACAATGCTCCAGAACACTTATTTCACACACTTGTGGTCCCAGACAAAAATGCATTTGTAGAGCTATATTAGATACTCACAATAAAACAGCTGGAGGATGTGGTACTCCACCGCTGTACATTTTCCTTGTTTAAACTCAAACAGTTTTAAATACAATCTGGCCAGCTAATATGGGATAGCCCAAATGAAGTGCAGATCAAAGAGGAATTAACTTACAACTGCACCTACCTCTGTGGCTGTCCTTTTTAAAGTCTCCTTTTTTGCCACAATAGAAAGAAAACCAACCCTTCCAGTTTTACTCAGCATCCTACAGACCATCCACCCTCCTCACTGTAAATTCAAATGCACTGTGCTCATTCTTCGCCTCTAAGTATAGACCAGATCATTGTATTGTTTGTCCTACTTATTTAAACTGCCTTGGCTGAGGGGAGCAGTCACCTTTAAAGCAGAAAGGAATGCCTTGCTCTGCTTTACACCAGGCACTCTGCAAACAGTAGTTGACTCTGACAAGCTCCTAACAGAAGTGGACCTGTCTGCTCCTAAACCATGATGATACTGAACCTGGGCAGGATGGACAGAAGGCAGAGACCAAGGAAGTCTTTAAAAAGCAACAAGAGGAAAAACCACAAATGGATACACACTAGTGTTCATTTTCTTCCAAGATCTTTCTCTTTAAAGACTTCACAAAAGAATCCTTTCATGGCCAAAGATGCTGTTTGCCATAAAACAATTCCAACTCAGCTCCAAGAAGGTCCATTGCCACAAATGACCCTGAACAGAACAAAATCCCCATCACATTCATTCCTTGGCAGATATGATGACTGTAAGTTGAGCACATATGGTACATCATTTCCTGCAGCAGTAGATTAACTCATCAGCCTGGCTCTTCATTCCAAATGATCAACACTCTTTTCTTGAAGAGAAAGCCATGAAAGGAAATACAGCATCCCTGAAAACTGCTGACCTATCTGATCCATACAGGGATGCAGTGGGGCTGTACTTACTCTGTGTGTGGACAATTGCTGGTGTAACAATCCCAAAGATTGGTACTCTTTGTTTGCCCACAAAAGGAGTGCAGGGAATGACAGTGTAAACTTCCTGTATGGCATCCCATCAAATGACTCAGTGCTACATCAGAAGGACCACTGGAGATGTAGGTAATTCACTTTCCATTACTCATCCCTCTAACAGAGACTGATGCCCACAGAGCCAATTCCAAGCCAATGTCAATGCATCTTGGAGGTATCCTGAACTGCAGTTAGCTCATGTCAAACAGCCCAACCCACTTTGTTTAAGACTAGCAAAATGCCACTATATGTAAATGAAAGCATTTAGAAGTGGGATCGTAAGTGTAATCTATTAGGAAATAGGCAAAAGAGCCAGCAGCACAAAATGGAACAAGATCATTGGTGTAAGGAGGGATTCTAGAAAAGATCACAAAATCATATCACAGAATCACAGAATTTAAGGGTTGGAATGCACATTACAGATCATCTGGTTTCAACCCTCCCTGCTCTGGGCAGGGACACCTCCTCACTACATCAGGTTGCACAAGGCCTCATCCAGCCTGGTCTTCAACACTCACTGCCAGGGCTGGGACAGCCACCATGTCCCTGGGCAACCTGTATACAGATACATCACCTATCATGTTCAACCACTCAAAGCTGTGCCAACCTAACACCTGTCCCCTCTGTCACAGTTTGTGAGTTAGCCAGGGTTAAGCTCTGCTCCTCAAGTTTATTCTCCTTTTCTTACCAAGTTGCATTTTGCTGAGGGAAAATGAAAACTTAATTGTGCTAGTTTTTCCCAAGTGACTCTGTGAATCAGGAAGAAGAAGGAAGTAATGTCAAAATACATAAATAAAGAAATTCACCTGCCACCTATGCCACTCTTGGCATAGAGATTTTTTGATTACTCAGAGCCTTGTGGCAGGCAAGCTGTAGTTTCTTTTGCTTGTTTTGAAGTTCCTCTCACAGCAAATCAAGAACTAATTTTTGGCATTATAAAGAAAAGTTCTAAGCAATAGAACAAAGTTCTCTAAGCAAAAACAGTGGTACTATCAGCAGCCAGAGTATCGTAAGGAAAGCAGCAAAGTTGTTTCTTAATCACTAGATCCTAAAGTGATACCCATGAAGGCCAACTGATCATCCCTGTGAAACCCTCTCCAGTGAAAGCTGCTCTGTATCTTTAATGTAGGAGGGTCTGAGAGAGCAGCTAGTGTTTCTGCTTGAAATTTAGAATGGGTGAAGGCCAAGCTTCAGGAAAAGACTGAGATTTTACTAACGGTCCCTGGAAACTGCCTGAATACACTAGGCAACTGTCTCTTGCACAACTCTGCCAACTGAACCTCATCCTGACCTGTAGCACCCTCATCTAATCTGAAATATTTACACAGCTGTGTGGAAACACTTTGGAGCGTTCTTATTCCACCTGCTGCTGTCCTGCTCTTGGTTTAGCCTCAGAGTTTTACTGGTGCTATTTGATTCTGGCTAGCTCAGACTGGCCACAGGCAACTTGTACAGGCCTGACAGTACCCACAAATCTTCTCCTGCAATCCCATGTTGAATCTTGAAATACAATTCATATCGAATAGGAACAGTACATATTCTCTCCAGTTAGCAGAGGCTAGGGTGATATCCTAACTCACATCTGTTCTCGTCTCCAGTTTACTTCAAAAAGGAGTAACACTACGTTTTCCTAGATATTTTTTTAAATGGTGATATCCTAACTCACATCTGTTCTCTTCTCCAGTTTACTTAAAAAACAAGTAACACTACATTTTCCTAGATATCTTTTTTAACTGAAGAAGTGAATTCTGCCTGATGCTTTCACGGAAAGGCTTTGAAAAGGCTTAGGCTTTATATCTTTCTGTTATTGGGGAAACCCAAGAAGTACTTTAGTGTGTGTGTTTTAAAAGAAAATAAGCCCTCAATTTTCCATTGAAAGAAGCAGACTTACATTTTGATCTGTACTAATAACAAGTAGAAGAAGCTCAAATACACAATTCCACTAACTTAACTATTCTTTATTCATCACCTCTGAAGTCATGGTATGTGTGGACACTGCTAGAAGGCTAATGAATAACCTAAGCAAGTAATTACAATAGTAAAAATAAGAGAAAACATGCAGAAAAGCCCTTCTCTCAACATGAGTTCCTCAACCAGTCCCAAAGCTGAGCAACAATGACAGACTCAGTGCTAGGGACTTTGGCATGATGTCATGACAGATTGTCAGCTGAAGTGACTTTGAGTTAGTCATTCCCCTTGAGGCTGCCTTCTCCCTTGCTCTGCAAACTACTGCATTTAGCTGAATCTCCAGGATACTAAAAGTCCATGCAGCATCTTTTGTCTGCCTAATTGGGTGTGAGGAAAAATGAATCAATGGGGTCAATAAAACTTTCTGCTTTTTAGTCTGTATCTGGCATAGCTTTTAAGCAGGCTTTGGAAACAGAACAAAACAATAGCAGATAAAAGGAGAACAGCTAGTTGACTCACTAGACCACTTGATTGTTCTAAGGCTATGCAGTCAAAGGGAGGACAGTTGCTTTATTTAAGTGATTTTGGAGCAAGAAAATTACATCATTCCTCACATCCTTGCCCTACTCACCACTATAATGGCAAGTAGGGTAAGCTCCTGTAAGAATGAGAGAGAGTTACCTTCATCATGATTCTGGTGTAATATGACCTCTGGCTGAGCATGGATAGAGTTCCCAGGGTGGAAGAAAGGTGTGAAAAGCATACGAGCTTTCCTTTGCTTCAGGATATGCTGCAGGAGTTCATATAAAACATCACCTGAAAGACAAACAGCAGGAAAAAGGAAATGAATCACAGAATACATGGAGTTTGAAGGGACTCACAAGGATTATCAAGTCCAGCTCTTGGCCTTGCACAGGACATCCCTGAGAATCACACCATGTGCCTGAGGGTGTTGCCCAAATGCTTCTTGAGCTCTGTCAGGCTTAGGGCTGTGACCACTGCCCTGGCGAGCGGTTCCAGTGCCCAAACACCCTCTGGGGGAAGAACCTTTCCCTAATATCTAACCTAAACCTCTGTTGACACATCTCCATGTAATTCCCTCAGGTCCTGTCACTGGTGTCCAGAGAGAAGAGATCAGTGCCTGCCCCTCCACTTCCCCTCATGAAGAAGTTGTACACAGTGATGTGGTCTCCCCTCAGTGTCAGACCAAGTGACTCAGCCACTCCTCATGTGGCTTCCCCTCAAGGCCCTTCATCATGTTTGTTGCCCTCCTTTGGATGCTCTTTAATAGATTTGTATCTTTCTTATATTGTGCTGCCCTAAACTGCCCACAGGACTCGAGGTGAAG